TAAGGAGTCCAGATCCAAATAATGATTTGGATTAGGAAACTCCTAATTTTATTAGGAGAAGCTGATCCTTAAGGCTTATAAATAGAGGGCGAATTGCTTCAGTTTTACACTTTTTTTACTGCTCTCAATTCTCTCCCTCTGTTCATGTCGCCCTACCCTATTTGATCTTCAGTTTCTTTGACTGATCAAGATTGGATCTTGATTCTAATTTTTGCAAGAAAAATCAAATTTAATTCATGCTCACCATCCCTTGCTTGATCTTTGCTGAAGGATTGCAATTCTTGCTGAAGGACTAGATTACTGAACCTGCTTCATCTCAAGCTGCGCCATCTTCAGTGGAGATGGGTTTTGGTACCCTCTTTGGGCGTGAACACCTACTTTGGGAACTACACGTGTGGATTCCGTATCAAGTATTGCTCTCCCATTCTTTTGGTTTTAGATCTGGTCCGGTTTGTTTCAAGAACGATCCTTGAAAATTGCAGTTTTTCTAAAACTGGGAATACGATTACCAGAAAGGAAAAAAGAAATTTTTGAAATTTCGCCCAACCACCCTGCATGGTTCAGCCATCCATATGATGGATCTCCCTTCCCTTCAATCTACTCGTGCAAGTAGATCCCACGTGCAAGCACCCATTTCCTATAGATAATAATAATTATAATTATTGTAATAATAATTACTGATTATTATAGTAATTAATTACTATAATAATATAATTACTGTACTAATAATTATTGATTATAATTTAATAATTATTGTTATATTAAAAATAATTAAAAATGTTATTAAAAGTATAGTTATTGATTAGTACATTAATTTAATAAATATAATTAGTGATTATAATTAATAATTACTGTTATATATTGTTAATAACTAGATATTTACTTCAATTTTACTTTAAATTAAAATTAATAATATTGTTATTAAAAAATACTGTTAATAAATTTAGTAACCCAGTTTTAATAATTACTGATTATTATAGTAATTTAATAAATATATAATTAGTGATTATAATTAATAATTACTGTTATTATAAATATTGTTAATAAAAAGATATTTAAATTAAATTAAAATTGTAAATACTATTAATAAATTTAGTAATTATTGTTATATTAAAAATAATTAAAAATGTTATTAAAAGTATTGTTATTGATTATTTAATAAAATATTATAATTATTGACTATTACTGATAAATGTTGTTAATTTAATTTAATTTTGGTAATTATTAATTTAATGAATATTTTTAATAAATCATATTCATAAATTTAATAATTGTTGTTATATTAAAAATAACTAAATGATATTTTTAAAACTATCATTAATGATTATTTAATTAAATAGTATAATTACTTACTATTATTGATAAATGTTGTTAATAACATTCTGACAACCGATGTTTTGATCGCCTGGTTTGAACGGATGGCCCGTTCTGACAACAAAAATTACAAGCAAAAAATTTCGAAACCATTCTGTCCACCGGTTTTCGGGTCGACGATTCGATCATCCGATTCGAACGGATAGCCCGTTCTAACAAAAATTATAGGCAAAAAATTGAGTTTGTGAGGTCCATTAAGTAGTATCATACGTGTTGTCATTCGAGCGTGTGACTCATACAACCCGAAAACGAAACCGTTCTGGCCACCGGCTTTTAGGTCGACGGTTTGATCGTCTGATTCGAATGGACGACCCATTATGACAATAAAAATTACAGGGAAAATATTGAGTGTGTGAGGTCCATTGAGCAATATCATACATATTATGTCATTCGAGCGTGTGACTCATACGACCTGAAAATGGAACCGTTCTAGCCACCGGTTTTCAGGTGGACGATTCGACCTTCTAGTTCGAACGGACAACATGTTCTAACAACAAAAATTTAAAATTATATATAAAAAAATAGCCAAAAACCATTGAACGGGTCAACAAGTTAACAGTTCGACCACTCAAGTCAATGGGTCATTGATCGATTCAACGGTTTTTTGCCAGGGACCGTGATTGAGGTAAAATGGAACTGGTTGCTTGGACAGCTCCCAATTAAAAAAAAAAAATTGGACAACCCATTCTGACAACAAAAATTACAGGCAAAAAATTGAGTGTGTGAGGTCCATTAAGCAGTACCATACGTGTTATGTCATTTGAGCGGGTGATTCATACAACCTGAGAATGGAACCATTCTAGCCACCAGTTTTCGGGTCAACGGTTCGACTGTTCAGCTCGAACGGATGACCCGTTGTGACAATAAAAATTAAAAAAATAAAAAAACGACCAAAAACCATTGAATGGGTCAATGGTTCGACCGCTCGGGTCAATGGATTGTTGACCGATTCAATGATTTTTGGCTAGGGACCGAGGTTAGGATAAAATGAAACCAGTTGCCTGGATGGGATTAAAAAAATAAAAAGACGGCCAAAAACCACTGAACAGGTCAACGGGTCAATGGTTTGATTGCTCAAGTCAATAGATCATTGACCAATTCAACGATTTTTGGCCAAAGACCAGATCAACAGATTAACGGATCAACGATTCCATTCCAGCCCCTGCGAAGCAGGGCCCTCCACTAGTTTTGTCATTAATTCTAGTGTGAAACTCTCCAATTGAAGCGATACTATCGTACGAACTAGACATTTCAATGGTAAGTTTTCTACTAAATAAGCCTAAATCAGATGTCATAAACAAAAAGTGAATTGGGTTAAGGTGGTGTGGAATAAAGCAATCCCAATGAAGATTTCCTTCTTTGTTTGGAAGCTGTTGAGAGGTAGGGTGGGTGTGGATATGGAGGCTCAATGCTTAGGAATTCTGCTGGTTTTTAAGTGTGTGTGCTGTAAACACTTATGACCTATCCATGGAAGATGCCAATCACCTTTGTGCAGAGATGTTTGGCTAAGAAATTCTGGTGTAACTTTAGTGGTGTTTTGGGGGTGGATTGTAAGAGGGACTGAAAGTAGGTGTAATGTGGGCCATGCCAGCCCGGCACAAACCACATTTTTGTGCTGCCCGGACTATAGAAGACTGTGCCGGCACGGGCCGTGCAGGTTGGTGGGGCCCAACTCGAGCTTGGGTCCATGGCCCGTGGGCCTTTTTCATTTTCTTTCTTTTTTGTTTTCACCACAAAAAAATCAAAAACTCAAAAAATTGAATTAAAAATGACAAATTCAATGATTGTAATAATAATTTGAAAAAGAAAAGGACATGTTAAAATTTTATTCCATATGAATAATCAACTCATACAATAGAAATATAAAATGATTAAAAAATTGAAAAAAATATAATGAAATTGAAAAAAAAAATGCTATAAGCCTATAACCAAATAGAAAATAAAAATTTATAATGAAGTTGAAAAAATTTACTAATAACTTAAAGGTATAAATAAAATTGATGCAAATCCCAAAATTAACAATAATCTAAAAAATTTTCTTCAAGTCTCACTAAGTTGGGATACATTGGATGACATGTCATGTTCTTTTATCTTACAATCTATCTTCGGCATCAAACCAATCTTTTGGACAAATGTACATTTTCAATGTCTCATTTGTCATCCAACTCTTCTCATCTAGAACTCTATTTCCCTAAAATAAGATTTCAATGCTACTGTGGACACCAAATGGGCTAGTAAATCCCGTGTCATAGCCACAAACATAGGATAATTGCTTCACTGTGCTTTCCAACAAGCTAAAATATCAAACGTTCTTATGTTGAAAATTTAGCGGTCTAATAGATGTCTTTTTAAATGGTTAGTGTCTTTATCAGGGCTAGTATCAGATTGTATTTGAAAGGGAGTCCAAAAGGAGCTGGCCACTTTAATAAATATTAATATTTATAAAAAAAATCTAATTAACCCAGTAATTGCTCTTCAGCCTTGGAGTTTGATCTATCGGTTTGTTATTTCAACTTAAATGGAAAGCTTTAAGTCTCCCAAATTACCAAATTCAGATTGAGACACTCATCAAGCCTCCTTGTTGAAATTAAAAAAAAAAAAAATGAGTGTATGAGAATAGAGTAGTATGATATGGGAGATTGAGAGTATGACAATGAGATTATATTTGATTGTTGTGAATTTATGATGAAAATGGTTCAGAGTTAGGGTATTTGTAGGGATTAGAAAAAATTGAATGACTAAAACTCTCCTAAACTAGTCATTTATAGTGGTTGAGAAGGCATTTGGTCATTTATAAAGTTTATTTATCACTTTACTTGAAATGCCCCACTTAACTAACTGTTTATAGTTGTTGGGGGGCATTTTAATCCTTTTTTGCATCCTCTTTGGTAAAATACACAAATGCCCCCCAAAATAGTTGTTTATAAATATTGGGGGTATTTTTGCCATTATACCCCCTTATAACAGCTATAACATGGTTGAGCTGGGCGGTGACACATTTCGTGCTAGCGCCGGGCCACAGGCAATGCCATGCCAGTATGACACATGCTGCTGTTGTGAAGTGCCACGAGCCAAAACCCCTCGGCAGAACCAGGCCTAAGGGGTTGTACTATGCCTGGCATGGGAACGACACCAATCTCATGGCAAAAGCTTTTTCTCTTCTAGATGGCCTTAATTTGGTGGAGACGGACTACAATGTTTTACAAGATATTGTGAAAGAAACCGTCTCTTTGCCTTGTCTAAAGTGCTTTGTTAGATATCACGGAGCTTATGGAGGTGGAGACCACGTCTGTGTTCATAGAGGTGAATCAAGTAGCTGATGTTCTTGCTAATCTGGGATTTGACAGTACTAAATTGGATATGAAAACTGAGATAGATAGGCCTATCCATCCATCTCTTTTACATACTCAATTGGAGGATAAATTGCTATCTCCGATTATGAACAACCATGCTCTCTGAAAATGAAGTCATTTCAAAACAAGCTTTGAAACGTGAAAGCTTACTAAATCCTAATGAAGAAAAGCTCTGAACATCTTCATTCTCCCGAACCTTTTGTATATATACACGAGGTTTTAACCATGCGTTTCCCAACCCAAAATCACAAAATGCCCCTGCTATTACCTACTGAACTTCGTCAACAGAACAATGTTATTGACTTTATTGTCAACAATACAGATTATATTAGCTAAAAGTTATTTAGCAATTCTGCAAACATAATCCGTCCAAGGCCTCATTTGGACCTCAAAGCATATCTGATTCTGCAAACAATCCACATTTTTAACGATAGATCAGAACTCCATTAGAATGGATTAGAATGGATGTGATAAATTGAAGTACCGATATACACTAGTATTGCTACTATGCCATGGTTTTCTGGATGGACCAGAGTAGGCTACTCTCAAAAAGCCCCACTTTCCTGTAAGCTAGTCCCATCTTATCTAATTACTCAGTCCCTCTCGCCAATTTAAGGGATTACAGGAGTAAATTAAATTCATCATCTAGCACATCAAAGACCTGCTTATATTCTGGTTGTCAATTGCTTGTGAGGAAGAGATCTCCAACCAATATCTCGCCGATAGAACCCTTCTGGCCAGTTGATACATTCAACAACTTGGTAAGCCCTCTCCCGAGCTTCCTCAATATCCTTTCCCATGGCTGTTACCCCAAGTACACGGCCACCAACAGCAAGAAAGTTCCCATCAGAGTCAATGGTTGTTCCAGCATGAAATATTTTAACTGATGGAGCAATTAGCTCTGCTTCTTCAAGGTTTCGGATCACAGTCCCCTTCTCATAGGTTCCAGGGTATCCCTGACTTGCCAAAACTACAACCATAGCCGAACCAGGGGACCAGCTCAGTGATACTCCACTCAACTCTCCTCTACACGCAGCAAGCAGAACTTGTGCCAGATCCGACTCCAACCGAACCATCAAAACCTGTGAAAATAATTTCATGACAAGAGTGATTTGAGAAGAGTGTTGTAACATATGGGTGTGTATCATATATGTATTGGGTTTTGAACCCACTAAAACACTGTTTACAGGGTGAAGGGGGATCTCTGTTTAATAAAACAATAAGAATCCCTCCCAACATGCCAAGCACAACTTGTGCCAGATCTGACTCCAACCGAACCATCAAAACCTGTGAAAATAATTTCATGACAAGAGTGATTTGAGAAGAGTGTTGTAACATATGGGTGTGTATCATATATGTATTGGGTTTTGAACCCACTAAAACACTGTTTACAGGGTGAAGGGGGGTCTCTGTTTAATAAACAATAAGAATCCCTCCCAACATGCCAATCCCTGAAACATATGAACAAAATAATAAAAAAATACCATGTCACCCTTTAAGAACACATGAAACACAATTTTTGTGTTTTGTGTGTATTGACACTTTGAACCATTCATAATATCACAACATATGGGTGTGTATGTTGTCATACCAAACCCCTGCACTGATACCATGTCCAAACAGATCAGAAACTGGGATATAACACAACTCCAACAAGACAAAAATAGAGATGACTTCATCCTAATCCTACAAACATCCAAAAATCATTTTTACGGCACCATAAATTAAAAATTGGTTTTCTCAATACCCTTTTACACCATTTTACCCTTACATACACAATGTCAAATAGTTTCACTAAAACTAAAATTGCTACAACCCACGTGAAAAAAAAAAAGCACGTAAACGCCTAAGATGACCCACGAAAATGTCTTGTCATCTAGGCATAGCCTTAACAACTATGGTACAGAAAACCATCCTGCGCACAAGGTGCAAAGAAGAGAGGTCCAGTGAAGGGTGCAGAGTGCAGTGTACTTCAATACCAAGGCACTTTAATATCTTTTCATCTCATATACCAATATCTTGTTCATTTCAAAAGATGCAGAAACCTTTGAAATTTTGGGAAAAATCAATTTTACTTGCATGAGGTACAAATATGATATTGCAAGAAGTGCAACTTAAGTACGTGGAATTCCTAGAACCCAGGAGCAAGGAAGGCATGCACCTAAACAAAATGAAACTGATTTTTAAAGATATAAAAGAAAAAGATAAGAATATGCAAATCTAAATTTTTGCAGAAATACAAACTGTAGCTCAATTAGTTACGGCATCAACATGAAGACCATGGCCACATATGTTGATTGCCTACATGGGAAAGGCATTTAAACATCATACAACCTGCCATACGGCAAATTCAACATCAAGTTCAAGGTTAACTCATCAAAACATTGCAACAAGTCAAAGAGCACCCTACAAAGTACAAACCAAGCAGTCAGGGCATGAATCATCAATGAATATATGGTGTAATTACATGATTCAATGATAATGACTGAAGGGCTACCATGTTTGTTCTTTTCATGAAATTAGTAAGTTTCTTTAAGAACAGAAGAAATATAAAAAAAAAGTGTTATACAAGCTGAAGACCTGTTTATAAGAATGTCAAGATACCCAAAAAAATCAAGACATCACAGATTCCAAAAAGGATGTGATCCACCAAACACCATTACTATGCAAGGACTCCTACACAATTAGGTAGAAATAAAATCAAACAAAAGATAATAGCCACAACTCAACACAACCACCTGACTGACATATTTTCTGTTGATTGTTGCTATGTCCAAGAGGATAAAAAATCAGATTGACACAATCAATTTATTCAATTGACTTCTAACGTGTGAATGTCATAGATTAAACCAACAAAAAGGTGTTTACACACTGAATCCATGCAATGCTGTCCAAAGAAGCTTTCCTTACAATGTCACTAACATTTATATTCTATAATACCCAGATTAAAGATACAATAAGAAATAGATTACCAACTAGAGATCGGTTAACTAACCTGACATTCTGGATCACCAAAACGCACATTGTACTCAATGAGCTTAGGCAATCCTGATTTCTTCTCAATCATGAGTCCAGCATACAAGACTCCAATAAACTTGCAGCCTTCTGCAGACATCCCTTTCACAGTTGGGATGATTATAGAACTCATGACCAGAGATTTAAGTTCTTCTGTTAACACGGGTGCAGGAGAATATGCCCCCATTCCACCTGTATTGGGCCCTGTATCACCATCCCCAACTCGTTTGTGGTCCTGAGCAGATTCTAGAGGTATGGCATTTTCTCCATCCACAAGGGCAAAGAATGAAGCTTCTTCCCCTTCAAGAAATTCCTCAACAATGACTCGACAACCGGCAGACCCAAAAACACCCTTCACGAGCATAGAATCAACAGCTTCATATGCCTCCTCTAGGGTCATAGCAACAACAACTCCTTTCCCAGCAGCCAGTCCATCTGCTTTTATCACAATAGGTGCTCCTTGCTCTTGGATATATTGCTTTGCTGCATGTGGGTCTGTAAATGTTTGATACTGCAGCACATAAATTATTACAACTGGAAATACAGAAATTCACAGTAAAGTTCTGCAAGATTCATAACAGTAAAAATTAAGAACAACCAAATAGTCATTTCCAGAGGAAACAATAACTTCTCAATAGGAAGAAAAGAGATTAGCACAAAAATGGCAGGGAAATTTAGCTACTTTTACATTGAAGAATCTATAGGGCAGCTTTAAACTTTGATGGCTATAGCACTGGTAATCCGGGAATGTCAGGCATAGCTGACTCCACTAGAACTGAACTATAGCCGTGTTGCAGGGGTTAAGGATGGGGCAGACCCTAAACTTAAAGAACATCAACCTATCCAGAGAAACATTAAGGAACTTCATTGTGCCGGAAGGGAAGAAAAGGGTTGGAAAAGATCAAATACTATGGATAACCTGCAAAAGAAGAACTGTTTCTTTGTTTATCCCCAAACTGGTGTATTTTGTGTAAAGTGCATAATGAGGACTGCCACCACTTGTTATCTTGTGCTTTTGCTGCTAATATTTGGAATTGGGTCTTATGATGTTTGGGTGCAAGTGGATCATGCCCTCTGAAGTAAACTTGCTTTTTGATCCGTCTACTTTTGGGCAACAAACTAAGAGATGGAAACTGATGTGGAAGTGCATCAGAGCAGCCATCTTGTGGAATATTTGGGAGGAGAGGAATGCTAAAATATTCCAAGAAAAGGAAAGCACCCATGAAGTAAAGAAGTGTTTTTTGACAAGAACAATTCATTGGCTGAAAACTTCAGATTTGTTTAGAGGTTACTCCTTTGATGATCTCTGGAAAATCTGGGCAGAGGTGGCCTCCACAACCCCAAAAAAGAATAGACTACAGACCTCATATAAAGGGTGTGGTAAATCTGAATTTTAATGGCAGCAGTCAAGGTAATCCAGGGCCTTTGGGGATAGGAGGGATCTCAAGAGATAAGAATAGCAACATCCTATCCCTATTTTCATGACCAGTGGGAGTTGGCGATTCTACAGGGGCTGAGATATTGGTTGTGGTACAAGGAATACATGTTCAACTAGGAGTGGAAAATCTGATAGTTAAGGGAGATTCTAAGGTGGTAGTGGGTTGGTTGTCAAGTCCAGAAACAGTTTTCTAGGGCTACAGGGATCTTCTTAAGAAAGTCAATTGGCTCACAAGGAATATGTCAATCACTTTTTAGTGGGCAGCAAATCAGAAAATGCCATGGCTGACTCTTTAGCAAAACAAGGGGTCTCAAGGGTCAAATTATTTTGTTCCACCCTATGATTGTATTCTGTTAAGAGTTTGCTTTGCTCTCACCTCTAAGGGGAGGTAACATCCCATGCCTCCTCTAAGGATGAATGTATACTTCCTTTCTTATCATTAATAACATTATTATTCATTTATCAAAAAATGAAGATAATAAGTTGGAATGTGAGAGGTTTAGGAGCAAGGAAAAGAGCCTTGATACAAAAAAAAAAGTTATTAGATAGGAAAAGCCGGATATTATCCTAATCCAAGATCTAAGGTGATGGATTTTGATAAAAACAAATGAGCTAGGAGTATCTGGAAAGCTAGGGGTTAGAGTTGGGCTATGTTTCTTGTGTGGGGAGCTTCATGTGGTAATGTGACTATGTGGAACAATGAGGTTGTAATCGAAATGGAGCATCTGATTGGAATTTTTTAGTTTCAATTAAGTTTAAGCAGATGTATATGGACCAAATGGGATTCCAATGTGATATGATTCCTGGAAGAGACTATATAACCAAAGTTGGAGGTTTAATTTAAGTATGAGGAGATTTAATCAAGTTTTGATGCTTTCAGGTTGAAAGAGATTCATTTGGCCCATATTAACTTTACTTTGTCCAACCTACAGGCAAACCCAGTTTGCTCTAAACTGGACAAATTCTTATTCACAATTGATTGAGAGGAGCATTGGAGAGGTCTAGTTTCTAGAGCCTTGCCAAGAGTTACTTCGGATCATTGGCCAATTTCCATTTCTAAGAAAATTTGGAGGGTAGAGGTCCTACCCCATTCAGATTTGAGAATGTGGTTACGCATTGATGAATGTAGGAAGAGAGTTAAAGTTTGGTGGGAAGAGAGCAATCCAAGGGTACATTGGGAAGGTATGAGGTTCTAGAGGAAGATGAAAGAGATCAAAGGCAAAATTAAGGAGTGGAACTTGCAATAATTTGGCAGGATTGAAAAGCAAAAGCAAGCATTGGTGTCTCAAATTGAAGTTATAGATGGGGTTGGTTTGCTGGGGGAAAGTGACAAAATTGAAAGATGGAGGTGATTAATCCGGGGCTAAACTCAACCTTTATCGCTTTGATACTGAAGAAAGTAGAAGTGTTGCATCTTAAGGATTTTAGACCAATTAGCTTGATACATAGCCTCTACAATATCATTGCCAAGGTACTATCTCAAAGGATTAGATTTGTTCTCCCCCTCATTATCTCACAAAATCAAGGGGCTTTTGTTAGGGAAAGGCAAATAATTGATCAGCTTCTGATTGCTAATTAAAGTCTTGAGGATTTGAAGAGAAGTGGGAAAGAAGGGTTTATTTGTAAATTGGATTTGGAGAAGGCTTATGATCTAATGGATTGGGGTTTCTTGAAGGATGATATGGTGAGCTTTGGTTTTGGTGATAGGTGGTGTAGATGGATCTTGGGATGTGTTAAGACCTGTCATTACTCAATTCTAATTAATGGGGCAGTGGTATATCATTTTCCAGCTAGTAGGGGAATTAGGCAAGGAGACCCACTTTCCCCTTTCCTGGCCATGTTGATTGCTGAGGTGTTTGGGAGACTCATAGAGAGGGCAAATTCAAGAAATTTAACAAGGGGATGGAGAGTGGGAAGAAATTAGGTATCAACGGTATTTTAAAAGCGCAAAGTGCAAGGGCCAATTTGCGCCTAAGGCACAAGACAAGCCACGTGCCTTTTTTAAGCAAGGCACAAAATTACAAAAAAAAAAGCTAAAAATAAAAAAAAGTCAGAAAACAATGCCAAAAATTTTAAAAATTCAAAAAAAAATATTAAACATAACATTAATAAAAATATAAATTTAATTTTAAAATAAATGTTTTAAAAAACCTATTACCTAAAATTAAAATATATAAACATAACATGTAAAACGTATTCAAATGAAAATTTAAAAATAAAATCCAACATATAAAGCATTTTCAAGCATGTAAAATCCACAATCTCTTTATTTCCTTAATTGAATTGCTTCAAGTAGCTAATGTGATGTAAAACATATTGCATTCTTGATTATATGAGTCGCCTTTGTACCATGCCCCTCGAGGCAAGGCCAAACAAGTCTATGTTAGGGTCTGAAATTCTTATTTCTCGCATAAAAAATAATGATTTTATAACTTTCATTGTCTTTTAAGAAGACATTAGCAAATCGGGGGGGTTCTCGGAGCTTTGGTGAGCAAGTGAAATAAGAATTTCATACATTGCAATAAAATATATTCTTAAAAGGCAATGAAAGTTATAAAATCATTATTTTTTTGTGAGAAATAAGAATTCCAGACCCTAACATAGACTTGTTCGGGCTTGCCTCGAGGGGTGTGGTTGGGGGTCCGAGGGCAGAGCCCCCGACCCAGTTGTTGGACTCAAAAGAAATAAAAGAACACAATTTTAAAAAAGCGCACGCCTAGGCTGAGGCGCAAGGTGCATCAGGCGCATGCCTAGGCACACCAGGCGTGCACCTAGGACTTGGGCGAGGCGCATACCCCAAAATGTGCCTCGCCTGTGCGCCTAGGCATGCCTTTTAAAACACTTGGTTTCAATTACTTACCTACAGTTCGCTAATGATACCATTTTATTTGGTGAAAAGGATGAAATTAGCCATGTGACGAACTTAATGTTGGTGGTGCAAACTTTTGAAAGAATGTCCAATTTAAAGATCAACTTAGAGGAGAGTTGCTTGGTGGGAGTGAATATAGAGGAAAGGAACATTTCAGAAAGTGCAGAAATTTTGGGATGTACTGTTTTCCCGATGGTCGATGATCTATTTGGGTTTACCTTTAGGGGATAATCCAAAAAGAGGTAAGTTTTGGGATCTTATGGTAGAGACAATTACTAAGAGGTTGGTGGGGGTAAAAGAACAATTATTTGTCCCTTGGAGGAAGAATTACATTAATCAAATCTACCTTGGCCAACTTCTTTTTTATCAACAACACAAGAAAAATTTATTATTAATTATAAAAAGGAGTATAATAAGGAATTGTGGGCAAAGATTAAGCCCAAAACCACTTTCGATATTTACAAAACAGCCCAAAACATGGACTGTCTCTGGATTCCACGTTTAGCCATCCCATCTACCACACAGTTTGCAGATCTTCTAATCCACTTCACTTGGATTATCATATCCTTACGAACCTGCTTGAAATGTCTGAATTCATTCTTTAACTGCCATATTACTCCTTCCCCCTTTTACAACCAGTCCACAACAATTCTGGAATCACCTTCAATAATCAGTCTGTTTTTTTTTTTATGAATGAATGGTATTTTATTAAATAGAGATAGAAATAGTACAAGCATGGAGCACCCTAAGAGGAGGCACGAGGTGTTACCTCCCCTTAAAGGTGGTTCCAAACCCAACTCTTTTCAGATTGCAGTTACAAATTAGCCAAAAACAGAGAATCCCTTGAAGCCCCTTGTTTAGCTAAAGAATCTGCCAAAGCATTTGCCGATYTAYTAACYCAYTRAAAGCWAACTGACATGGTKYYCGTAAGCCATTTGACTTTTTTGATGATGTCCCTATATCCCCAAACAACAGTTTCTGGGTCCAACATCCATCCCACTATCACCTTAAAGTCTCCTTCAACTATCAAATTAGTAACTCCAAGTTGGTTGGAAGTCTGTAGTCCTTGTACTACAGCTAATATCTCAGCCCTTGTAGAGTCTCCATAACCCACTAGACCTGAGAATAAGGACAGAATGTTGCCATCCTTATTCCTCAAGATCCTTCCTATACCCGGAGGTCCTGGATTGCCTTGATTGCTCCCATCACAGTTCAACTTCACAACTCCTTCTGGAGGGGGTAACCAACTTGCTTGTGTTCTATTTTTCTTGGATGATGTGGAGGCCACTGCTGCCCAACTCCTTCGAAGGTCATCACTAGAGTAATCCGCAAAGAGATCAGTAGTTTTTAGCCAAAGGATTGCCCTTCTCAGTATACAATCCTTATTTCAGCAATGCTTCTCTCCTCCTGGAAAATTCTGGCATTTCTTTCCTCCCAAATGGTCCATAAGAGGAATGCCCTAATACATTTCCACATTACTTTCCCTCTCTTTGTTGACCAACCAAAAAAAGACAGATCAAAAAGCAGATTTACTTCAAGAGGCAGGTTCCACCTGTACCCAAACAGCATAAAAACCCAATTCCAAATATTTAATGTAAAAGAGCATGAAATCAGTAGGTGATAACAGTCCTCATTCTGCACTTTACATAAAATGCACCAATTGGGGGACAAGCATGAATAACGTCTCTTTTTTTGTATATTGTCCACAGAATTAATTTTACCATAATACACTTCCCAACAAAAACCAGCAATTTTAGGTGGAATTGGCCTTGACCAGACTTCTTTAACTGGGAACAACAAAGGGGAAGGAGTAGAGCAAAGGGACTTAAAGAAGGAAGAACAAGAGAAGGAGCCACTCGAGGTCAAAGACCAAATTCTTCTATCTGGTTTAGGAGGGTCCAAACAAACAAAATCAAGTAAAAGTAAGAGCTCAGAGGAAAAAACCAATTCCTCATCCCTCAACCCTCTATGAAACCCAAAATCCCAATTAAGAGACAATGGGAGAATGGGGGGAGAAAGAAACCTCAAAACAGGCTCCTTTTTATAGAGGAAAATAGAAAAAAGGGAGGGATAGAGGTCTTTTAAAGGTTGGTTGCCCACCCAAACATCATCCCAAAAAAGCACAGAATCACCACTGCAGACATCATACCTTACGAACTTGAGAAATTTTGGGAGGATGCCAAAAATTGCCTTCCAAGGTGTAGCGAGTGCGGCCCGTTGAGATACCCCGGCATCCCAATCAGATTCAGAATAGCCATGGCTACTTTCCAGGTCACTAGCCTATTTTCAAACTTCTCTACCACCGGGATCCAAAACCTACTTTCCTTTGGATTTGCACCTAGGGGAAGTCCTAGATAGGTCAAGGACCAAGCAGAAATAGGGCATTCTAAGTAGGCAGCAATAGACTCCAACTCCCTTCCCTCCACATTTAGCCCCACCATTCTCAAGATTTATTTTCAGGTTTGAGACATTCTCAAAGAGGGTTATTAGATTTCTCAGATTCCTTACTGTTGACAGGTGTTATTGTACACAGGTTTAGTACCGCAAGGGTACTGTTGTAATTTCCCCATCTTTATGTTGTACGACTAGACTAGTATAAATAATATCTACTGCACACGCCTGCAGCATTCTTTGGGGCTTTCAGTCCTCTTGCCTCTCCTCTCCTCCCTTCCTCTCTTCCTCCTCTCCTCTCTTCTCTTCTCTTGCTCTTGCTCAACATGGTATCAGAGGAAGTCGTCCAGGCCTGAAGGGTGGTGCCAAGCAAAGCTGTTGTGGTCAATGTCGAGCAGATAGTCTTTTCATCTCCCAGTGTTGTATCCATCGAACTGCTAATTTGTTGTGTTCAGTTCGACCTTATGCAAGAAGATGCATGCCTGATTCTTCGTCTTCCAGCATAGAAAAAGGGTTCTAGTTATAGAAACTTTTCATCTTCCGGACCAGAAGTTGTATCCATTGTTTGTTCGACTGTAGAGAGGCTATCATCTGAGGTTTGTAGAGGAACTTCTGGTTTACAGAGAGGCTATCAACTGATGTTCAAAGAATTGGTGTTGTATTGATCTCATTGACCGACTGTTCGGCTACCCTGTTGATTGACTGTTCGGCTACCCTATTGATCTCATTGACTGTTCTACCAAGTCTGCCGATTAGATGTGGTTAACTTCACCTTGTAATTTTTTTTTTCATTCAGTTGGGGGGTCATTTGACCTCTGTAAAATCGTAGGTCATACAGACCTGGTTATGTATTGCAACTGCAGTGTTGGTTTTTTGGATTCCTACTAAACCGTAGGTCATACAGACCTGTTCAAGTACTGCAACAGCAGTGTTCAGTCTTTGCTCCCAGTGAAACCGTAGGTCAGAAGGACCTGTTGTTGTGCTATGCTGAATAGGTCCCAAAAACATACCTACAATATTTCCACTTTCCTCCCTGATGACCCCACCAATACCCGAAGGTCCAGGATTTCCCACGCAGCTGCCATCAAAATTTAATTTCTTCCATCCAGCACATGGAGGCAACCAAACCTCAGTTATTTTTTGTCTTCAAGATTATGAGAGAGCAATTTATCCCCATGAGCTAAAAAATTCTTCAACTTTAAACACTGCAAAAAGCTTTAAGGTTTTCACCCAATATGCCACCCTTAAGATTATAATGTCTAACACAGCTTCCTTGTTCCTTTCTTTGTCTTCAAAGATTCTTAAGTTCCTTTCTTCCCAAATCTACTTTGGCCAACTTACCAGTTTACAACTTGTCAGTGTTTAGAATTACCATTGGGGTGGCAAAAGTATAGAGAAGTTGATGAGGGATTTTTTGTGGGAACTAGGGGAGGAAAAGAAGGATCACAAAGTAAGTTGGGAGTTGGTGTATAGAAGTAAGAAATACGGTGGTTTAGGACTAGGGAACATACAAAAAAGGAACACAGATCTTCTAGGGAAATGGTTGTGGAGATTGTCGATGGAGAGGGACAAAGTTGTGGGCAAAGGTGATAGTTAGTATTCATGGTCTTGCAAAGGATGGTTGGGGCTCTGGAATTATGGCTAGGACTACAAGGGCTTCACCTTGGAAGTCCATTTATGATGTTCTACCACTCTTTTTACCACACATCAGGTATAGTCTGGGAGATGGAAATCAAGTGAAACTTTGAAAGCATGTTTGGGTGGGCAATGAATCACTAAGAACACAATTCCCTTCAATTTATACTATTTCCAACCATAGGGAGGAACATATTTCTTGCTTTTTGGCCTTCCTAATTCAAATGGAGAGTGTAATTGGGATTTGGGGTTGAGAAGAGGGCTACATGATTATGAAATGAACACTATCATCAACCTCCTGCAGAACTTGAAAGGGGTGTTTTTGGAAGTTACCTCTTGCAATTCCTTCTTTTCAGCCCTTATTCATTCAAGTGAAAGCCAAGGGCCTTCCTTTCCTTCCAAAGAAATTTGGTGTAATCCTATTCCTCTCAGGGTGGGTGGCTTGTGCTAGGAAATATTTTTGGAAAGAATTAATACTTGTGAGCTACTACAAAGAAAAAGACCCAAATGGTGCCTTTCCCCTCACTGGTTCTCCCTATGCAAAGTTAATGGTGAAAATTGCTATGACTTATTCATGCCCTTTTCTTCTTCAATTTGGGAATGGTTCCTTTGTTTGTTTGGGTGCAGGTGGAACCTCCTAGTGAACAAAGCCTATTTGCTTCAACTTCCTAAGCTGGTCAAAAAAGAGAAGATTACTATGGAGATGCACAAGGGCAGCAATGTGTTGGCCAATTTGGGAGGAGAGGAATCAAAGGCTTTTCCATGAAAAATCAAGAAGTATAGAAGCTGTCATTGAAGCTATCTCCATCAAGTAGTGCATTGGGTGAAGTCCTTGGGTATTTTCAGAAATATTCCTGCCATTGAAGTGATGAGGAAGTAGAGGAACGTGGTTGATTCTGCTCCTGCTAAGGAGGTGGTCAAGCCATTGTGGTCCCCACCCTTTAGTTGTTTCATTAAACTTAATTTTGATGGCAGTAGTGAAGGTAATCCAGCTCCTTCTAGCAATAGAGGAGTTTTCAGGAATGAAGAAGGAAATATATTGCACTGTTCTCAGGCCCAATTGGTGAAGGGGATTCCTTAAAAGCTAAAATTATGGCTGTTATGGAAGGGATCCAAAGGGCTAAAGAGCCAAATATCAGGAAGCTGGTGATAGAAGGTGATTTGAAGCTTGTAATTAGCTGGCTTCAAAAATAGGAGGAAGAGGGATAGTGGTGCTACATTCACAAAAAGAGAAAAGCTGTTAATTTGCTGCAAGGCGTAGAGGTGTCTTGCAATTGGGTTAAAAGAGACACAAATGCTGTTTCTGACACACTTGCTAAACAAGGGGTGGGAAAGAATGAGTTATTTTGGGTTGTTCTGTAATCTTCCTTTTGGGGAAGGCTAAGATTGTTTATCCCTCCCCTTTCTTTGTACTAAATTTCTTCTTTTATTAAAAATGATTCTGTTATTGATAAAAAAAATGAGACTCTAAGACAGTGGTGGGATGGCTAACAAACAACAGCAAGGGACATGGCAACACAAGCATAATTTGAGAGACAAGACAGCAAGGGAACTGGCTGCAAACTTCAAATGGGTCCATAGATCAGCAAACAGCTTTGCTGATTCCTTGGAAAAGATTAGGCTAACAGGAAAGAATTGTTTTGGGGAACAACCATCTAAATGGTCTCTTGTAAAAGTGTGAAAAGGGGTTAGGTGGTAGTAGCCAGCCTAACTTAAGGGAATACCTATATGTATGATTCTATGTATGTGTGTATGTGTATATATATAGCATTCTTTAAGTTCATTAATAATAATGATTACTAGTTACCTATCAAAAGAAAACTCAACACAGTCACATACAAGAATTGGTTGCATGTACACAACCCAATATGCTCAGCAGAGCCAAAGAAACACGAGTTTTTTTCTTTTCTTTTCCATTTTTTTTCCTACCTTATTTTTTTGGGGAGGAATTACATGGTGAGGATCATCCATAAAATGCCAGATATGCTCATATTCCTATCATACTGGACAGAGAATAACTTGGATGAAGAAGGTATCAAGAAACATTAAAAAAACCATACGAACCTTTGCAGTGGGAATACCATATTTGTCACACAACTTCTTCATGAAGTCCTTTGAGCCTTCCAAAACAGCAGCCTCAGATGAAGGGCCAAAAGTAGGGATACCAGCATTCACAAGGTCATTTACAAGGCCTGCAACCAAAGGAGCCTCTGGTCCTACAACAACAAGTCCCACTCCCCATGTGCGGCAGAATGAGATTACAGCTGAGCTGTCAAAAATGTCAAGGTCTGGTATACAGGTAGCATTCCCTTGGGCAGCAATTCCAGCATTCCCAGGAGCACAAAAAACAGCATCACAAGAGGGAGATCGCTGCAAGGCGTAGCATAGGGCATGTTCCCTACCACCACCACCAATGACCAACACAATGACTCTCTCTTCTACAAATCAACAAGGAAAAAAGGAAATGAATCAAATCAACGATAAAGAAGGGAGCAAAAAATATTTACAAAGATACAAACCAATGTGTTAAATTAGAAATATAAATTTTGAGGTGTTGATTTGAAAATATATTCTCCAGAATCAACTGTTATGATCTCGATGTGTACTTTGCTTCTCCAGAGTTGTTAGTGCTGGCGCTTTCACTTATTTTTAACCAAACCATGCATTGCACAAATTTCCTATTATCCATATAAAAACTAAACTTTGATGGGAGTAGCTGGGGGAATCCTGGACAATCAGGGATTGGAGATGTGTTTAGGGATGAGAATGGGTTGGTTACAGCCATGTTTTCAGGCCCAATTGGAGTGGGTGACTCTCTCAGGGCTGAGATCTTTGCAGTTTTGGAAGGAGTCCAAAGAGCTAAGGAGATGAATATAAAAAAACTCATCATTGAAGGGGACTCGGAGGTGGTGGTAGGGTGGCTAAATAAAGAAGATAGCAGGTTATGGATGTACAGTAATGAAAGCAGGAAATTCAGGTGGCTGGTTCAAGAGATGGAAGTTAAGATCAGCTGGATGAAAAGATCAGCTAACTCTTTTGCTGATGGATTAGCTAAGCAAGGAGTTGAGAGGGAGTCATTATTTTGGGCACAAGTGTAATTTTCTCATTTCTCTATTCTTGGGAGCTCAAGCTCCAATTGGAAGATAAGAAAGTTTATCTTCCTCCATGTAATTACTTTTATGATTAATTAATGAAATGTTGTTATTGATCAAAAATATATATATATATAAAAGAATAATGCATTGTACAAATTTACCTAACTGAAAACACAATTTAGTGCATCCATTCTCAGGTGTCAAAGAAAGAAAAGACACTAAGCATCAGAACATACAGTGATACATATACTAAGCAAGATTCTGCACATAACCATATTTTTTGCGGTAAAAGAACTCCATTGCAAATGAGCTATTCTAGGCTAAAAGTGAAATAATGAATGCAATAATGCCCATAATATTCTTTTGGATGATCAACACTACAAGAAATTAATGAAAGAAGTCCATGAATAATACAGTTAAAATCAGCCAAGCAGATAGCACTGAAGCCAAAATAAAAGTCCCACATAAAACACATGCAGTGATAAGTTATGCATGTCTGCCAATAGAGACTAATTCTCCAGCTACTAGACCACAGTTAGAAGTATTACCAATTTCCAGTTTTAATAATAACTAATACCCATAAACTTTACATTGAACCATTCAAACTTAAGCACATCTCACGGAATGAATCCTAACAGCACTACATACTGTATAATCTACCAAAAATAAAAATCAAAACCTCTATTTTCTGATAACTTAACATTTTTTATGAGTTCTAATAAATTTTAAATTGCACCATTCAAACTTGAGAACATTTCACAAAATGCATCCTAATAGCACCACATACTGTATAATAATCTACCAAAAACAAAAACTGTTGTCGCTCGGATTAGCCGAGGGCAACACAGTCAATTTACTCCAAAGATCTGGGACAGGACCGAGGACTTCAGTGCTCCGAGAGGTGCTGAGGCCGTGGACTAGTGGGGCTCGAGGTGTGCCAAGGCCGAGGACTTGCGAAGGAGAATACGTCAGAGGCCTCGAGTGGGGACCCGAGGCGGAGACTCCAACGGTCATGTTAGTATCCACACAAAAGGGAGGTAGAAGGAAGCCCAATGCGGGAGCGCTCAGACGAGGTCACTAGTAGACACTAGGTCCCCAGTAATGAGAATACCAAAAGTCTTTTTGTTTGGTTCCAGATCCCTTACCTTGTGGGAGTTGCCTCATATTTATATTTGGGACCACCTGGAGGTAGTCGAACTCAGGTGGCTCAGATTCGAGTCGTACAAGGGCGGGACGCGGTCATCTGGCGAGGCCATGTGGTGTCCCACGATTGGGCCTGCGAGGTCCGCTTAGAGTAACCTTGTATGCTCCGCAATTTGTCCCGGTCGATACCTGTTGGTTGGACACGTGTCGGCCCGGCGATGGCCCAGCCAAATGCGCCTACATCATTTGCCCCCCACTCCCGACGCCGAAGTGGAGGTCTAGATGGGGCTTCGGGTTTGGCTGATGGGAGTGTCATTGGATGCTAGTAGGCACCATCAAGCTCATTCGGCGAAGGGTACCCTACAATGGCGTCACATCCATTTCGCTCATGCTTTTGTCCGATCTTTGTCCATGGGAGAAGGGTGAAGTTGTAGGCGACTCGGCTTCAGCTGGGGAGGCCAAGCAAGAAGGGCTCGGATAGGCCAAACCCGTGTCTTATCCCTCATGGTGACGGCTTGAAGTCGTGCACGGTACGGTTTCTACGGGTTAATACGCTGGGGCCGTGCCCAATACGAGTCTAGCGTAAGGAGAGTCTTCCGTAGGGGGGACGGGACTCCGGATGGACCGGACCGCGCATTCACTAGGTTAACGGACCCAAACCGGTGGACTGCAGCAAACGGACCTGTCGGTTCGCCCAGTGTCATTTCGTCTCCTCGAGGGCAGGTGTCGGGTGTCACCCTGCAGATAGGTTTACGAAGGTAGAGGCCTTACGGCCGTTGGATCCAGCGGGATCTGAGCCGTCCATTCTTCTATATATAGGGAACTTAATCGCGTTTTTTTCGTCATTTGTCTCTAGGCAACCTTGCTGTTGAGTGACTTCCGCTCCTAGAGCTTTCGGCTAGTTCACTTCTCCTAGTTACCTTCAGCCTTCGTCCATCTTAGGTAACACTTCGCTCCGATGTCTTATACCGATTCTGGCCCCGAGTGTTATGAACTTCCCAACCTCTCGGAAGGGAGCTCCCCTCGAACTCCTACTCCACTTAGTTCCAACTTGGAACTGTTGGCAGCCGAGGTCTCTCCTCAGCGAGGGCTAATGGTGCTGAGGGAGAGGCTAGCCTCCAGGGGCGCCAAGGGCAGCCGCAGAGGCGATGACCCTCCCTGTGAAAGCACTGCATCCGTGACACTGAGGGAGCCTGAGGGGTCCCCCCCAGAACGAGGGGGAGCCGGTCCCAAAACCCAGCTTTAGAGCGGTAGCCGAATATGCTACCCGAGGGGTGACCATGGGTCGTCTGCCACGTTCGGAGTTTGATAGCACTATGGACCAGGACCAAGTTAAGTCTTTAGCCAAGCGGTACCACATACCTCGGTCCTATTCACTTAAAGTATCCGACGTTGGTGGCCGGCCGTGGACTCCCAAGGAAGGGGAGATTTGTGTTTATCAGCACTTATTAGAGTTCGGTCTTAGGTTTCCCCTTCATCCCCTGATTTCTGAGTTGCTGAAGTGGTAAGGGATCACCATCAGCCAGCTTGTCCCCAACACCCTTAGAACCATAACCGCCATGTTGGTAGTGTCCCGGCTTCGAGACGTAGAGTTGACGCCGAAGTTGTTTCGTGCCATGTTCGTGCCAAGGAAGCACTCCTACAAGGCCAGCATGTACTACCTTCAGCCTTGGAGGGGTAAACCTATCGACAACCCCTCGTCCGGCCATAACTGGAAGGGCAAATTTTTCTACGTTTCCTGCCCTGAAGGTTGGTCGTTCAGATCGAGGTGGGGGGAGGCTTGTACGACGGTCGAGAGGTGTGCTCCCCCGCTTCGGGACGAGGAGGCCCCTTCCATAGCCCACCTACTTGTGCTGGGGAGAGTTCAGGCCAAGCCCTTGGTGGAGGTGGAGCTCCATTTGGTGTTCACAGGGCTCAACCCTACCCCCATCGGTAGGAGAGGTCTCGTAGTCTTTTAACACGTTCGCTTTGTCTTCGGCTTTCTGACTTCTTTCTGTTTTCCTGCAAAGGTTCCCATGGATGCCAAAAAGATGTTGTTGGAGAGCGTCTATGCGCAAAAGAAGGGCCAAGGCGGTAGTACACCCGGGGAGCAGATGCTAAGGAGGTGAGGAGGGAGAGCGTCTTAGCCGGTTATTCCGTCCCCGGTGGCAGGTCCATGAGGCGGATTCCATCAACGAGGAGGGGGTCAACAAGGCTCTAATGAGTGGGGTGGTCCCTCCAAGGGACCGATATGACGTGATGCAAACCAACCCCATGCTCGTTCGCGATGAGGGTCTCACCTTCTTGGCTGAGGTAAGCTTCCTCCCTTGTACTTCGCCATTTCTTGAATTTTGTTCGTTTTACTGACAATGCTTGGTGCAGGTCTGCCGTCACTTCATCGGTTTGGGGGACCGAGTTGAGCTTTTCTGCGATCGCATCGAGCGGCTCGAGAAGATTTACGAGAAGCTTCAACTGCAAGTGGCCTCCGCAGAGAGCAGCCAGGACGAGGCTATCTCGGATCTGAAGGACGAGAAGAAGCTCCGACAAACGCTAGAGGATGATTTGAAGGCTGAGCAGGCTCGAATTGGCCACGCGGGAGGCCCTGAAGAAGTCCGAGGACAAACGGGCTTGTCTGGACAGAATTGCGTTGGAGGCCCAGAGGCGGGCAGCGGATGCCAAGGCACGGGCGGTAGAGGCCGTCTAGATCTGGAAGCAGGCGAGGGAATACCAAAAGTGCCTTGTTGATTATGCGTCCGAGACCTACCTAGAGGGCGCATCAAGGATACCAAAAAGGCAATCCTGAAGATGATGTCGGACTTCAAGGTGGACGAGCTAGAAGTGTACCCGGATTCCCCCACTCCTAAAGAAATTGCCGAGGTCCCCGACGAGGCTGCTGGTGGTGCCAAGGACTCTACTGCCCCTTGGCTGGCGATAAAGCGTAGCTAGCTTCCTGTTTCCCTATTTTTGTGTTGCCTTTACTTTTTTGTCTTTTTAATGTGTATGTGCTCGGCCTTTGAGGCCAAAGAAAAACTTTTGTAAATGCGTATACTTGCCAAATGAATGTAATGAAGAGCATTTTTTGTACATAACATCCTCTTCTTCCTTTTTCTTTTCTTTTTTTTTACCAAGGGGTCCTTGCCCCTTCCTTCGAAAAGGTCACAAGTAGACAAAAAATAGCTCACAGTGGCTCGTTACTTACACACTCGCTTTAGGTGACTGGA